CCGAAAGCTGGAGAGCAGATATTGCCATGAGACGTACCATTTCAGCGCCCTCAGCAACAACGCCTCCAAGTAGCTTCAAGCACCGTAACGTGTTCAGTGTGTATCATGTCAGCTTATCACACTTTTCTAGCGCGAACGGCGGTCTCTCAGCACTTTCAGAAGGTCTAGCCGCTTCTATTCTTCGAAGACAATCATCGAGACTCATGCCTGGGTTTCGCTCCAGCTTTTGGCCAGTCTGCTCCTGAAACCTTTCGGAGGCGGCTTCCCACATGTCCACGAAGGACATTTTCTCGTAGTTGGTGGCGATTGCGAATAAAATTGGTACGGGGAAAATGGATTTTTCTGATCGCGCAATATACGCACAGTACTGACGAGAAGGGAAGAAGCTATAGTTGCTCTAGGCCGGTGGACTCTGATATCCGCTGGCTGCTCGTAAATTTGCGTCAACTCCCAGGCTCTCAACAATCACATGCAGAGGTTTTGGATCTGCTGCGCGATCCTCGTCTTATCGGTGATTTCTGCACGCTCAGCCTGATTCCAAACACGGCTTGATGGGTTCTATTGTCATGTATGATATACTTCATGGACTTTCGGTCAGCTACCTTGCCGGGGCACGCTTTCCTACATATGTTGACAGGGCTTTTGGAAGGTATTACCTGACGCTGTTGCCCGAAGAGCTGTAGTATAGACGAATAGAATTGATCTAATGTAGCCAACCATTTTCATCGCAGCATTGCAGGATAAGCGTGATCAGTCGGGGATGTTACACAAGCGCTAAGCGTACAAGTGGGAGTCGCAAGCAGGCAGAGCTGGACGTGGAAATCTCAAATTCGTACAAAACGAAGATCATGTCAGCCCTGCGGTGTCGTAACAATATAGAGTCGTATTCAGCTAGCTTTAGGCAGGCTGAGTCGACAATGTCTGTTCATGGACCCATCCAGACGAAGATGAGGCATCCCACAAAACGGTTGTGGAGTAAGCATGACTGAGCCGAGATGGAGAACATCACAACTGGCCGCGAAGATCCAGGAATGAACGAGCCCTCGCCAATTGACAAATAAGGCATCCCGGCATCTTATCATCAGACAATGTGGCGACAGCACGCAGCGCCGGTTGACACGAGGGGATGCACGCCCTAACTCATGGGCCCAACTCCCCTCCACTCTGATTCTGACCAACCACTTGTATGAAGCGCACGACAATGTTCTGGCGGCTGCCTAGAATGGAAACATTTCCCCACCTATCTCACATGAAAGCAGCCGCTCTCACGAGCAGTGTCTGTTCATTCTGTAATCAGGTAGTTCCTGTCAGCACACTGATCCATGATTATGAGATAAGTTTAGCCCAACGAGGAAAAAAGATTGCGTGCATATACATTGGGCTTAACTGAGATGATGAGATCTAACAACTGATCACGTCAACTCAAAGTCGTCATCTCCATAATGGGTTGTATTGACGCAACATATTGCTAATGTCTATCTCCCTTTAGAAGAGGCTGTTGGAATGGACGATCCGACCGTGGTTGACAGGGGCTTTCTGAGCACCAGGTGTACAAGAGGGGCTTCCACCTGCCTTCGTATCTCTTGCCTCGTTCAAGCAATACACCGGCAGTTACACTACCCATGCCTTCGCTCAACAGAGAACATTCAATATCTACGTACGATACCTCCACACAGTAGCCTCCTGGTGATTATATCACTTGAGCGATAGCCCAGACAATCAGCAATTGCACTGCTGAGGTGCTCGAGCTGAATATTTCTTGGTGTTTGAATTGGTCATGACTCTCCAGAGTGACACTGATGGTTTCTTCTGTCCGCCGCGTTATCACCTACGGGGGACGTGATCAGCTCCTAGCCTTAGGCATTGTGTTACGTGCGCATAGAGGGTCTGCTTCGAAGTAATTTTGTCAGTGATGATTTTGATGGTTAAGTGAACCGCGGTAACCCTATCACAGACGCATACCAAGATACTCAACATGGGCCATTTTGTGCTCGATGGCAGTGAAGTCAAGACGAACTTATTGTAGACCCACTGGTACATCCATGACCTTCCTTTGCTCGTCAGTGTGGCAATCAATGCCGGCACAAGTTATGCGAGGGCAACAATAGGCGATTTTCAGCAGGACTCTCCATGCATTGCAGTGACGGAGCATCCAAATTAAGCATATGGAATTTCTCATTCGCAATGACGAAAACCCCCTTTCCGCTGCTGTTTTCACAGCAGCGTTCCCACGTGCGTTACATTTTCTACGTCATTGGCCTGTCTCATGAACCCTGTATCCTTGGCTCTAACAAACCATCCCCGCACCAACTCATCAACAGTGACAGCGCGGATCCCTGGATTACAATGCAAAATCTCCAATCTAATCTTTTCCCGTCAAGCCCGTCCAATCTTCGTGTCAGAGCTTCTCACGCCTGTTCCTATGCCGAGCCTTCCTCCCTGCTGGCAGTCCCCGCCACAGAAACATGGACGTGTTTTTCAGGCCCCTTTCCCGGTAGAATACGGCCTACTTTGACGACTGGAGCGGTGTGGGTTTGCCACAGTTGACATACAAAATACTCCAAGTGCGTGACGTGTTTCTTTGGCGCTTTCTTATTATCTCAAGAGCCGACGATTTATGACTCAACTTGCAGACGAAGAGCTTTGATTTACACATAGCATCAATGTCGAACAGGTATTTTTTCGCCCTTGCGGCGCTATCGGTCTTGAGTAGTGCTGCTCGGACTAGCTCCCACAGTTTCAACTACAGCGCCCTTCGCTTGAGGGAGGTTGGTGCCCGCAACACAGAGGTGATTAGCCCCATTTATCGAATTTGACTTATCCTACATGCTAAGTAGGCAACTTTAGGACTGGAGGATATGGCTCGAAAAAGACGGGGACCCCATTTCCTTCTGGCACGATGTGCCAGTCTGGCCGGATGAAAGTAACAAGCAGGTGGTGAATCTTGTGGTTGAAGTACCTAGATGGCAAGATGGCAAAATTGAGCTTAAGAGGAGCGAGCCATTAAGTGAGTCTCTTTCGATAGAAAATAATTCGTTAAGCTAATAGTCGTTATTGTCCAGATCCTATCGTTCACGACTCTCTCAATGGTGCTCCTAGATACGTGGAGAATGTGTGGCCACACAAATCGTATCCTTTCATCTACGGGTCTATCCCACAAACATGGGAAAGTCCAAATTACAACCATTCTTTTACTCATCTTCTAGGCGACAACGACCCTGTGGACCTCTTCGACATTGGCCAAGAGTAAGTCACCGGCAGACTCCTGCTTTATCAGGTCTCACATTTATCCAAGACCGAGAGGCTGACTTCATATCCAGCCGCGGATACGTTGGCCAGGTGAAACAAGTCAAGATTCTTGGTGGTCTTGCCTTGGCTGATGTAAGTCTACGATAAATTGAATCGTCGGTCCATCATCTGAGTTGTGCTAATGAAGGTCTGCAGGGCAACGAAACGGATTGGAAAATACTCGGCATCGATATCAAAGACCCCATGGCGTCCGTTATCAATTGTGAGATGATTAGCCAGGTCTGAAGGCATCCTTACATCAGCTGACTTGTTCAAAGCGTTCGAAGATGTTGAAAAGTATCGCCCTGGGACCATCAAGACATTCCGAAACTGGTGGACTGTGAGTCTCTCTCTATTCCGTTGAAGTTCAGGCTAACTAACACTTTGCAGCACTATAAAGTGGCTCGTGGGGATCCGGTCATCAACATCATCGGGGACTGGTACCAGAATGTCACCTACATGCAAAGCGTCGTCGAGGAAAGCCACAAGACTTGGGCGGATTTGATCAGAGGAGAGGTTGACTCCAACGAAATCAATTATAACCAGACATCTCGGCCAGACGTCGAGAACAGCTTCGTAAACAAAGCAACAACAACCGCAAAATTCAACATTCCAGCAGAGAGCAGAATCGATCCCGCTGCTCCACGGCCAGAAAAGGCTGATGGCTGGTATTACTTGGACAGCGACGCCAACTTGATAGTCGTCCCCCAAACACAACAAACATTTCTCAATAGGCAACAGGCCTAGCTTTTCCTTTGAACGAAATTTCGTTTTCTTTGAACTGAACGAGGCACGTGAAGTGTCTGCCTTTACTCCAGCGTCGCCGTCATGTAAAGCCCTTTTCATGCTTTTCATGCTCAGTTAGGTAGAAATAACGAGTAATGAAATGAAAGACCGTGAACATATATCCAATTTCCCATTTCGGAACGGTTTTGCTCGTTCCTTGCAAGTTTCCTCTCATTCTTCCGACACTTTCTTGTGATCCGACTCTCTGACTTGTTTCGTGGAGCTTTCATGCCCAAAGACCCACAATATTCCGCAGCCCTACCCGCGAGCTTAATTCTGACTTTCCCCGATGTGACACCTTTCCCGCCTATCTTCAACGTCGTTTCCTTCCACTACCATTATCGCCATTCTGCATTTAGGTATCTGGAAAGCCTATGATCTTCTCTTGCCCTCAATTCCAAGATCAGCTGGTTTTTGCGGCGAACCCGTCGCGTATTTGCAGTTAGATTTCAGCAACCGCGGAAAATTTTCATTCAACAAACGAAACCTCGCCCATGAGTCAACCCTTCCTACCGTTAACCCCCATCAAATCATACTGTCACCCATTAGTGTACATGGCCCCTGTCGGTGTCATAGGAGAAACATCGACAACCACCTTAATCCAAGACGGTACGATGCAGCAAAAGAGCACGCGAGACATCAAGCGAGGGACGCGCGGACTGCCCAGTCGAAAGCCAAGCCCAGCGCAACACTACAGACTTGTCAAGATATCGGCGAAAGTGGAGAAGCAGAAGTCAAGGAGGTGGAAAAGTAAGACCGCCGACTCAAGACTTTCCTCCGAATTGGATCGACTCCTTGTCGGCGACGATACCTCTGATGGCTCCTTTTTCGGGGAATCACCTACAGCGTACAAGGTTCAGCACCCGTTGCGAGCCGCTTTGCAGAGTCTTCCTGGCTTTTCGTTCGACGACGAGCTGGACAGTGTCACTTTTGGAAAGCATCGGCGTGTCGCATTCGGCCTGGCTGATATCATGGAGCAGGGTGGGCGTGACGCAGTCAAAGTTTGGCTCGAGGAGTTTCTCTTACTTGCTTTCCAGACAATGAAAAACATTGTCGCACGCCATCCACAGTCCAATGATATGGAGGACGTTCCCATGGGTTTTGTTATATTGGCCCGAGAGATGGAGTCGACCACCGACAAGTCGCCCACATCTATATCTTTCTCGCGAGCACGGAGGACTATGGAGAGACGGCTTCGTCAAAGCTACGATCTACGAAGGCTCATCGACTGGGTTCTCGATGCTCGTCGGAAGTTTCTAGAATCGAAGCCGAAGCCCATGCCTGGCTTTGGAATCTTTGGACAGGCAGCGGTGGAGGAGGGAACCGAACTCGAGAAAAAGCTGTGGGCAGCTATAGATGCGCAGACGACTTATTCAGAGAAATATGCATTGTGTTAAGGCATGGGTAGATGATTAGGGTTCTGTATTTGGAGCGTAAGCTTTATCAAGGACAAATATGCTCTGGGGCGGGAAGCAAAGAGTCCCGTTCTATCTTTACGGCCTTGCCAAAGAACCTATTTCTGAATACACTCATGACTGCGTATTCTGGCCTTTTCCGCATCATCAACGCTGCCGGAGACTTTCTTTGCCACACATCTCCCGGGGTGCCAGAGAGAAAGCAACATTACGGCCAAGACCACGGGCGCAAACTCGAGCACGCCAAAGAACACCTCGTTCGAGTACAGATATCCCCCAAGGCCCTCCGCAGTCTCAGCAAGGCGGAAGCAGGTACGCAGGTAAATCAGCAACGTCGCCGCCGAAAATACCGCCACGAAGGTAGTAAGCCTATGTTCTTTGATCGCTGTTCGAGCTCTGAAGAGAAATATGGACGTAGTGATGACGAAACATCCGATGGAGAAGACCTGGTAGGCAAGTCCTCCAAGCAAAATGTTGTTGGCTGTCGCAGGGTCCTCGCGGCGCGATTGCTTGACTCCAATCAGAGCGGCGCCTGAGATCTGCGTGATGGTTGCGATGGCATCTGAAGTGATGAAGAACCACAACACCACTTTAGGCGGCAAAGGCGAGAATTGTCGGCCAAGACGATTGATGAGTGCGGATAGAATCGTGTAGATGCCGGCTGCGAGGAAGACTGGTGCGGTGACGATGAAGAAGTAGTTAAGAATGAAGTAGATCAGATTATACGGGTTCGCTTTGGCGGAGAGAGAGCGGGCTACGTAGCCGACGATTTCGAATAGCAGGCCGATTGGGAATATGACAAAGTACCAGCTGTGATATCGAATTATCTGCCACGTGTGGACGATGAGGAGGAGGAAGAAGAGGACGTCGGCGAGGACTGTCAGAACAAAGGATGGGGTGTAGCCATAGATAATGACTGGCGTGTCCCATTTCCCGCCAGGGTTGACGAAGTTTGGGTCGACATAACCGTAAGTGTCTTTGTCGATGTAGTCAGTACTAAATACTAAGATACTAAAGCTTTATCTGTCGAGTATCCCTGTCTCACCTCTTGCTTCACTCATTGTTTCGTTAAGAAAACCTTCGCCTAAAAGCGATTTCGGGTCTGAGGCTTGGGTTAGAAGGGGAATTTTGCGTACAGATAGCTTACATGAGAACTATTCTTATGGGATGGAAAGGCTCACCTTTAACATCGGCGAAGTGATCACTGGGGTGTCATCTAGCGACAAGGGTCGTGCTACATATCAGCCACGTCGTTACCTGAACGATCTGACCAGGGAGCATGGTGACACGCAGATCGAAAATAACGGTTCGGAACGGTCTGCCAAGCTGAGACCTCGTGGCACCACATCCCTTTCCGATACTAGCGGGTGGAGAATGGGGGTTTGCAGAACATGCCCCTCGTCTTTCGCGATAATATGTAAGTACTCTCGTCCCATATCCGCATTGGCGACGGATACCTGTCAGCGTAGAGACAGACTATACACTTGTCGCTAATTCTAGCTCGTTAGAGCAGGGCTGATATCTATGAATCATCATTCCGTGGATCCTGGTTCCGTCCTTAAGCCACATTCTTATTTGAGCAAACCTGCATTACATGGGCATGCCCCTTCTGGGTATCTGTCCGGCCGGGAGCCTCCTGGAAGCTCTTTGTCGGCCGACTTATATGTAGAAGCTCATCTGATTGGCCGAGCAGAGCTTTTTCAGCTGCACAATCAACATCTCTTCGTCTCCCTGGCAAGAATAGCCTAACATGAACTCTCTCTCTCCAACGTCAAACCCTCGACAATTCTCAGTTTTACAAGCGGATTGCTGCGAACGCGCTATACGTAAGTCGCGATTAAGCCATCAAGTTGTCTTAGGTCTATGGTCTAAGTGGCCCATCCGGCGAATTACTTGCCATTTCCGTACTGTCCTCCGTGTATGGGCTCGCACCTCGGCAATGCCAAGAAGTCCGAGGCCCGGGGTTTTGGTGGGTCTACAGGCCGTTGCGGCACCCACTTCCGATGCGGCGCACGGCAGTGATGATAAATAGAATGGAAAGAATTCGATTTGGCGGTTCATCGAATATCACTTTCTGATTCTTCAGACTTAGGTTCTATTTCATAGTAATAGAATCTCCCTTGTTGTTCGCTCTGAAAAGTGACAACTACTCTGTGAGAGAAGAGACCTGCGCAACCGCAGAGTCTAGGAGTGATTACTCCGACTATGTCCTAAGACTATGGCAGAATACTGCCTTCAGTATTGCTCTTGATGTAGGCTATGTTTCGTGCAGGCCGTTTATGCTGTGAAAAGCCCTCTCAACAGTGTTTGTGTCCACAGCCGCGACATGTGTTAAAATACTGAGCTGTAGCTTCATCAAAGCAACATAAGATCAAAGAAGTTTAGTGTATCACAAAACGAGAATCCAAGTGGAAGACATATACAGTAGAATATGGCTTGATTCTTCCAAGTGGGAGACCCTTAAGGGGTCGTATCTAAATACCGTACGAGGCGGGCAGTCGTCTCGTAGTAAGCGGTATCGTGCGGCAGTAAATGGGCAGCGCCACATGTGGCGTTGCGACAGAGTGGTATACATGTATGGTTTATTTCACGATCCCTCTCCACAGGTTAAGAGCTTCAGGGAAAGGTTAATTGGCTTGTTCAAATTACAATGGGTGGAGCAATGCATCGTGTTGTGGGAGAGCACATCTCCCAACATAGAACCGCTAGACTAGGTACTCTCCGAGGTAGACCTAGTGACGGAAGTGAGAGGGGCCCTCAGACTCTGGAATAAATATTATGTCTATTGTCTATGTCTAATCATTACTACTCTTTAGTCATATGCTCGTTATTTATTCATCTCAGTGTGCAATAGCAAACGCCTCTCGTGCTGTCTTGCTGCTCCGAGCGAGGCTATCGCCGAATCTGATAAAGATGAATGGGATCACTCCCATGGCTAAGGCAATGAAGCCCAGAACTGATGGAGCCCAATGAACTCCAAGGTTGCCATACATCTTGCCTGCCGCCAGAGGCAGGGTGATGGCTCCGATTGAGCGTGTCATGCTGGCCGCTGCATGTGCTGATGCAGAATATTGCCGGAAGACGTCTGTGAGGTAGTTGATCATGCCCATGAAGAGCAAATTGAATCCGCAGCCGAAAAGTACGCCGCTGAACATGGGCAAGACAGGGGACGTGGACGGCCATACGGTCCAGCCAAGCCAGAACAAAGCGATGACCATTCTGAAGAAACACCTGTTAGTTGTGGATTCTCTTATCATTTGTGTAAGGTTCGAGATCGTCAAGGGTGCACATACTGTGGAGCGGCAATACATGCAAGAGGCAATCTGCGATTGATAGGCTTCAGGGCCCACTCAACCCCGGCCTTGAATTGCTTGTCATGATAATGTGTCCATGCGGAGAAGATGGCAAGGGCAAAGAAAACTCCAAGGACCACTTCGCAGATATGTTAGCTTAGTTCATCGTCAATTGCAGCATCCTGGACGTCGTCTTACCAGGTAGGAACGCGAGTCCGGCCATCCCGGGAGACATGCCGTAGAAGTCTTTGAAAATAACTGGGTAAGCTTGGAACAGCAGGTAAAACACAGAGTACGCCATCGTCAGATACGCAGATGTTGCCATGAGTATTGGCTCGGTAAACAGGAGCTTCATGGGCCGGAGGAAGATCTTTCGTACGTTGAAGGGCTGCAGTTGCAATTGTTGTTGCTGTTTGCCATCAACCGCACCCTTCTTTCGCTTCAGCTGCCTCTTGACTGCGTTGTTGTGTAAAATAGGCGCGTACGTCTCCGGCAGAGTAAGTACGAGAGGTAGTCCGCATACTCCGAGAATACCAGCGATCCAAAAAGGCCATCGCCAGGACATCGGGGACGAGAAGCCCGAAACAATGGGCCCGATGAGCGGGCCGATGGTTGTGACTGTCATGTAAAGTGCCATGGCGTTTCCTCGAACCGCGGGGTTATCGAGGATGTCGGCGTAAAGTCCACCAATGACAGTTGTTGGTGCTGCCGCGTTGATGCCGCAAAGAAGACGGAAGAGCAGCAATACTGGGTAGGTTGGTGCTCCAGAACAGGCCAGCATGAAGATGATGTATCCGCAGTATGTCCCGATGAGCACCGGTCGTCTGCCGATGTACTCGCTCAATGGCCCAAATAACAAAGGTCCAAGCACATATCCGCACATGAATAGTGAGTTGAGAAGAATCAGGTGGACGCGGTCCGTAACTCCGAATTGCTCGCTAATGGCGTCAAGTGCGCCTGAGGGCATGGATGATCCGAGATTCCCATTGAATGTGCAGGTAAAGCCGGCTACGACAATGTGCAGTTTGCGCATCTGGGGTAGAAAGTTAGAATGATGTTCAGCCGAAATGTTCATCGCAAGAGCCACTTACAGGCGACAATGTCGTAGCGTCCAGCAAATCCTCCGTTGTTTCTTTCAAAGACGAGCCATCGGAAGTGTCGCCGCTCATCTCAACATCCCTTGCCGTCGTGGATTCTTGTTTCCGGTCCCCATCTTCTTCGTTCGTGTATTGAAAAGGACGTGCGTCCATTATAGTCCTCGAGTGTACTTCGCGTATGAAGTCTGCTTATATGTTTCGTTCGAATGGTTGTGGTCTTGTCTGTGCAGTCCTGTTCAGTCAGACTGTCATTGAACTGCTCAGGTCCCCTTATATGTTCTAGCAACCCCATCTTTGCCCATTGCTACCCGAACATACAAAAAAAAACCTCCGGAAGACCTTGCTAGATAATTTTACGTATTTGGTTCCATTTTCCTACAGTATTCAATGTTTCGCAAGTCGTTCGGGAGTAGAGTAAGTCACTTTCCATAGTTGTAATTGGTTGAAAGGTCCGACAAGAAGCTGCTCAAGTTTCCGCACTAACAGAGATTGAAGGCATGTGAAAAGAAAGAAGAGATTTAATTGGTTCCTACTTCCGAGCTTGCAAATTCTGCTGACATAACTTCCGAGGCCACGTCTCTCGGTATTTGAAATCCGCCGCAACTTCCGACTTATATCCAGTCCTGTCCACATTGCCTCCACACCCGTCAGGCTTTGCGTCAGCGCAGTGAAGGGCGCGCCATCGCAACTGAGATGCTGTGATCGAATCTAGATCCCGCTCGGAAAATAAATTTCCAGAAGGCGGCTTACCGCCAGTACTGAGTCATGTCGGCTGCAGGGCGTAGAGGCGCATCTTCCCCGACAGGATCGGCGTCTGGCCAGGCGTCGAAGAAAGCGAGAACCAGTATGGCCCCCCAGTCCTCGGCCTCTTTGTTTCACTGGCTCCTCTCAACCTCAAGAAGCATTCTGACCGACAATCTTGTCTCTAATGACTAGACGGCAGGGCCTGCGTGACGTGTCATCAGCGGAAAGTGCGTTGCGACATTCTCGAAAAGGGCACGCCATGCTCCAAATGCGAAGCAAACAACATTTCTGACTGTCGGATCTTTGAGAAAAAGAAGACTAAGTGTTCAACAAGGGTATCTCGGAGCCCCAATATCTCTATTCAGCCAAGAACAACAACGGCACCGAGCTCTAGACCCACAACCACGCCAACAGCATCGAATGCTGCCAGTCCGTGGGTACCGGTCAACGTCGACTCGCGGCCAGGATCGGCTCCAGGAAACGAGCTCAATGCTCAAACCCATTACGCCACAGAGGTCGCAACACGAAATTTGGCTGACTTTCTTGACCGAGAAGAGACGGGGTATCAAGACATCCTACCAAGCGGCCGGCTCTACTTTATCGGGACTGAGTTCTCGAACTTGAACTACCTTGTTCGGCAGCGATCTCAGCGGCCTGACCAGCATGTACTGCATTTCGGGAGCCATCCTCTCGCCCCGAGGATGTCTTCGGTGCCACCCGAAGCATTGGAGCTACCCACTAAGGCCCTGGCTGATGAACTTGTTCAGGCTTACTTTGTGCACATCAACCGTGGTATTCCCATTGTCGATGAAGAATTTTTCATGAAGAAGTATAACAACACAGATACCAATGAGGACTTTGCTAGGCAACGGCCCTTATCTTTACTTTTGCTCAACGCTATCCTACTTGTCGGGGCGCACGTCTTGTCGAATCAGCGTGATGAGCTCAAGGCGTTGAAGGCGGTCTTCTTCAAGCGAGCGAAAGCTTTGTTCGACTGTCGTTTCGAGCAACATCGCGAGACGTACCTACAAGCTGCCATCCTTCTGACCTGGCAATGCGATGACCTCGAAGATGTCATCTCGAACTCATGGTATTGGATCGGCATTGCTGCTCGAACGGCATATGGAATGGGCATGCATCGAGATGCTTCGCCTTCGGGTTTGAACGTCATGGATAAACGCCTATGGCGGAGGCTTTGGTGGACTTTGTATCAATACGACGTCTTGGTTTCCATGGCTCACGGTAGACCTCAAGCCATGTAAGTGGATCGCTCGATCGGTCGTCCCCGCGACTCGGAATATCTCCAAACTGACCCTCCACTCCAATCGTAGAAGCCTTGATGATTCCGATGTACCACTCATCGAACAGTGTCATCTAGAAGACACACCGGAAGCCGAAGCGTCTTTCATAGTTCAGCATACACAACTATGCATCATTTTTGCAAAGGTCATGAAGAAGCGAGTAGCTCTACGTTGCAAAGAAGGAGAAAAGGCCGAGGCCACAAGGAAAGCCGATATTGCGCTCGCTGAGCTGGTCACCAATCTGCCCGAACGACTCCAGTTATCTTCAGGGGATCCAGACATTTGGCAGTCAATGTTCCACATCACATACAACAGCTTTCTCATCCTCCTTCATCGGCCACCTCCTAGGGCGGTGCCGGGCCCCTCCTCGGTAGAAGCAAGCAACGACCTGACCATATGTTCCGATGCAGCAGCTACGATTGCCTCCATCTTTGAATCTTTAAGGAAAAGGGAGATGTTGGCCGGCTTGTGGCTTCCAAGCCTGCATATGCTATTCACAGCTCTGGTTCATACGGCAAGCCAGATGCACTCTAGCAACCCAATCGTCGCAGCCAAGTCCAAGCGTCATACTGAATCCATGATCCACACACTTCACGCAATGAAGTCCCAGTGGTTATACGCACAAAGTCTGTTGAACCTTTTCGAGCCGAAACGACAAAGAAATCGAGGTCTGGACCAGCAGTCCACTCATCTCGGTGAAGTGAGCAACCGAGTGGGCAGTGGTGGAGAGCAGAATCCTTCCAGGATCTCTCTTCCAACTGACATTCTCAGATTTAACGATCATGCCATTGCTGGATCGTCAGTATTAGCATCTGTGGGCGATGACCATCCAGGACAGTCTCTTGTTTCCGGCGCAACTTATGGTTCACAGAATACGAGCACGGCACCAAGTCACGGACTAGCTAGAGATCCGGTGGAGCAGTATGCAGCGGCTGTAGTCGGGAACATGTCTCAAGGTGGCCAGCCTTACGGCACTGGCTTCGTAGGAGACGATATGGGTCTTACTGATGCTGATACCATGGATATGCTGCAGCTTCCGTCGGCTCTGGAGTTCCTGTTGGCAGGCGCCGGAAACAACTTTGACTTCTGATCCTTGTAAACTATAGTATGATGATGGTAAAAGATATAAGCTGCGATGTGACCCTACTACTCATCTTGCTAAATTATGGGAAATAATTTTAACTTATGTGAAATATTCTACACCTTCCAAAGTCGTCCAGCGTGAATCCATATTCCTTGATACAAATGCCTAGTTGCTCAAGCCATCCAAAACACTTTCACGCCAGTAGTAGAAACTTGCAAGCGCTGCACCAGGGCCCACGGCAAAGCCACTGGCAATGGACCCCAGAGAGCCCAACAATGCCTGCTTGGTTGTTACAAAGCCCTCTGATCGCAAATTCCACGCCGAGTAGAGAGACAAGGCAGCAGAAGCGAGTCCGAAAATGCTGGTGCTCGTTTGAGAACCATCTGCCAAGTTGCTAGATGAAGTTGTTGACAGGATAGGGTATACCACGCTCGCAACATGGACGGTAGCGCAGACTCCCACCGCGAATGCGTATGCCATCTTGAGCGGCACCACATCCCTTTTGTCGTACATGTCAACGAAGTCCTCCTCGTCTTCAACCTTTACGTCCTCTTTGGCCTTTGTTGATGAAGTTACGTCCTTCACCTTCTGTATGATTGAGGCAATGCCGTTAAGTAGAGCCGCGCTGAAGATTGGAGCGGCAGATGCAACGAGGCAGATCGTCTGTTGGAGCTGTAGGTCTTGAATTGGCAGGCTGGCCAGTATCGTGGGAATGGCGTAGCCAACGATGGCTGACGGCAGAATCGCCTTGGCGTACTTGACTGGTACGTGTCTTCCAGGAAGAGTGTTGGTGCCTTGGGTGACTACGCCAAGACCCAGTAGCGGCATGAAGGCTTTAGGCCCGAAGACTGTGAGAGCGGCAGCAGAAAGCGAAGGCCTACATATTTCTGCGTTAGATCAATGTGTTGCAGGGCGTTAAAGGTGGAAAGCATACCATAGAAGAACCGAGAGTCTGTTGCCGAATCTATGACCCTCTGCAAGCCAGACGACTAGCGCAGAGAAGAGACTTGTCTTGAATTGGATCTGTTCAACAAGACTACCAAGCGAAGATGTCTTTGTTAGACTTGATGCTCCTTGGGCGAGACCAAGGTCCCAAGATTCAGACATCACTAGTCTGACGCTTTCTTTCAACTCAGAGAGATGGTCAATACCGCCAGAGTAGTAGAGTAACGCTACAATGGATCCAGATGCCAATACAAGAGCCATTCTCGATGCTGCTTGACTTGCTTGACTTGTCATGGGTCGGGCAGGAAGCTCATCGTCAAAAGGCACAAGACGGCGTCGCTGGGGTAAGGGAAGCCTGTAAACCCTGTGGCTAGCCTTGCAAATCGGGACCGCCGTGCCGAGGAAGCCTTCATCGCCCAATATGGGGACGAGATACTTGGTAACAATCTTGGAGTACGGTGATCTTCCTGTCAAGACCTGTTGAAGCGTATGGGCATTCGCGACCAAGGTCTTCGCTCGCTCGTGGCGGTTAATGTGAACCTGGGCCAAAGCGGCCTCGACAATTTCCGTGGATTGAGCCTTGGGATTCTTTTCTAGCATTTCGGTCAGAGCATTTGTGAGGAGCGCCGCAGCCTCCATGGCGCCGTTGCCTCCTTGGCCGGAGATGGGGTCGATCTAGATGTGAGAAGCTTCAGAATCAAAGTCCCATCAACGAGCGTTGTGGTCTGAACAAACCTTGTGACTAGCATCGCCAATGCATACGATTCGTTGATAATGCCACTTCTCAAAGACGTACTCCTCCAAAGGCACCAAAGTGGCCATGATCTTGTTTTTGTAGATGTCGCCAAATGTGACATTTTCAAAGACCAAATCTTCCCAGTGCTCGAGAGCAAGCTTCTCTGTGTCTTCTTTGGAGTACCTTGGTATGTCCTTGCCGTACTTGGTGTCTCCGACGCCTGAGAACAGGAACCAGTATGTCCGATTGCCAGGGGCGCTGATGATGAGGTAACTTCTCCCTTCGTTGAATACCATCTGTTGATTGTGGATGGGGAGGTTGCTTGGGCGTTTGGAGATGCCGAAGATGCATTTCGTTGCGACGGGTACTCCTGGACGACGTTATTAGTCCTTCAGGACACATGATACCATGCCAGCATAACTGCTACTGTAGCTCTTTGTGTATCGCGAGGTACGTGCAGCTATTCCAGGTCAGACTTGAGCGACCAGTGACTTACTAGAGTGTTCGTCAAGAGGAAAATAGCCTGGTCGTTCGTCATGACCGATGCGCCACATCTCTTCTCGGACAGTACTGTGGATACCGTCTGCCCCGACCACAATGTCGCCTTCATAGACAGAGCCATCTTTTGTGTGAACATGCACCCCTTCCTCGAGGAGCTCTACCTTTTCAACTCGTTTCTCTGGGATGACTTTGTCTTTGTTCTTCAGGTTGTCGTACAGAACCTGCAGAAGCATCTGTCTGTCGATGAAGATGGAAGGGTACCCAAGCCTAGCCGAAAGAACGACTATTAGTGATCCTGCTAGGACTGAATTTTGCATCCATTTCGGCCTCAGCTTACCGAGCTTCTAGGTGTTGGATATTCACCAAGCTAGGCGGACCCAGCGGTTTACCATCCGGGCCGCGAAGGCTGTTTCTCAGGTGATATTCTCCAACCATCTCAAGGATTGGTTCAAAACACTCAAGTTGATCAAGAATGCGGAACCCGTTAGGGAGTAAGCCGATACTCGCACCAACCTGTGGCGCAATATTAGGGTATGCCTCGAGGAGGGTGTAGTCGATGTCGAGCCTCTCCAGCATGTTGGCTAAAGAGAGGCCCGAGACGCTACCGCCGACAATGATGACTTTGAAGCCCATTGTTACAGTTTCGGATAGAAATTATCGTTTCAATGGTAATCATTCAATGGCATCTGAGAAAGTTCTGAGAGATTATAATACACATAAAAGGTTGTTCGAAAAGTCCAGCCGAGGGTTCATCTATAAATTATCAGTTGCCTCGTTTGGCATCATGACGGTCCAAGTGCCGCACGGCCGAAAAGGAACACGGTTTAGTTCGAAGATCGTTATTGGGCAGGACTCAAAAGGCCATGTAGGTATGCGATGGCACGCTGATCCCGCCGATGAAAGCAGAAAAGACGAGGGTCAAGTTGTCCGAAAATGTCCGTATCCCGCGAGCTAGACAACACGAATTGATGCCAAAACGAAGAAAAGCGGACTATAAGTGCCGGCCTTCGCAAATATTGGCATGCCGAACTTTGAACTAGAACTTGTCATCCACGGCTCGGGTCGTTCTCATTCCCGGCCGAATCAAGCGGCGGCGCGGGAGCCACTTCCGGGAGGGGACCGGTCCTTAGTGTGGCCCCCCCACGCAAAGCCGAACAGCAAGTCTCGGGAATTAGGGCCTTGTTATGGGAGTACATCCCGAAGTTCTCAGACTATTCACTACCCACCCTCAAGAGAATTGACACTTACCCTAAACTTGGAACGTATAGTCCGTAGCTCGACGGGCTGATCTGCCAATCTTTACTGACCACCTAGTCTTAGATGAGCCCTTGTAAAGTTCATCTAGTCTTTCAAGGGTCCTGATCTCAGTCCAATCGGTGCATAATCATGGCTGCCAAGCTGGTGTAGATGGTTGGTATAGCAAGTCCCGCAACGCCATAGAAGTCCATGCAACTTGCCGAGCGTGGGGTGTGTAAAGAGTACGTATCATGGTCGAACGGTGTCCTTCTAGGCTCCCGATTAAGAAAGTGAGCAATCATAGCGGTGAGGCAAGTGTGAATAGGGATAGAATGCGACTTCAGCCCACCTTCTGCACTTTTTGTTGTCGAGACTTTGCGTTATTCTTGGCATTGACATCCTTACTTAAGCTCAAGAGCCGGCTTAGCTAACATCCAAGCCATGGTCTCACTTCTACTGCGGTAGGTGACATGCTCGTAGCCAGGGCGGTTCCGCTGATCGCGTCTCTTATCTGAAATTTGATACTTACGAGGGTTGAATATTGACTGCCTTCAAGTATTCCAGCAGGGTTGATCAGACGCGATACGGCATCCAGTTTTTCCGCGGCGCCGACTCATGTTATTCGGTTCTCGCGGTGAAGTAATCTCAAGACACATTATTGACCGGAAACCGATGTAGGCTGTGCCGTTCATACGCTAGTAGATCTTGAGAGCGGTTGCGCCGGCTCGAAGTCCTCTCATGCATCGGTTTGTGACGTTTGATTGGTACGCCCGCTGCACAGGGACCTGTTCCAAGTCAAGTAGGCTACCGAACGAGTCTCCATCGGACGATTCTCCCCCGATCGCCGGCTGAGTAGGCGTAAGTCTACCTGACGACTAAAGCTCGAGCGAGTATAAAATTGAATGACCCCTAGAGAAGTACAGCCCCTATCAGGACCATGAAATGCCCCGTGGGGCATGGAAGGCTGTACGGCGAACGTCAGGTAACTCGGTTTAGCTGTCCAACCTTGGCAAGGAACTCCGATATCATGTTGTCACGTAAGGTAATCTACAACGTCTGGCTTGGAAATTGAGTCTTACTAACACCTCATCTTCCCGGCGCTCGCTTACTTCTGCCTTGGGGGCACCGAGGCATGAAGCCTTAGGAACAGCGACGATGGTTGGACGGGTTAATATGGTCTAGTGATTTGGGTGTGAGGCTCTATGTACTCGACTCAATACGGTAAGATTGACAACTTGCGACGGAGCGTTTCCGCTCTGGTCAATTGAGAGAAGGTCATTAACCATGAGTCCAACCAGCTTGAGGAGTGTCCTTAGGAGTGCAGTGTACGAAGACATGCTGCTTGCACACTGTTCCCATCTCCTGAATGCAGCCTAAATTGAATACAGCTGGATCCTTTCCATACCTTTCCTTCCAGTCAATGTGGCAGATTGCCCAGTTTGTACAAGTATTGAGGTACCCCTCACTACTCAGGCGGGCTGGCTTGCCTTGGTCTGTGATCAGGCTCGCGCAAGCGCCTCGATGTTGCAGCTTCGGTAGCCAAAGCATTATCGAAATATCCCAATGCAGAGGGCCTGCCATTTCAGCCCACCCCAGCCGCGGCAACGGCAAGTTGGCCGTGTAATAAATATCAAGAGATGAGACCGCCCCGGTCTTCATGCACAACGCCCGCGAATAAAATAAGATATCTCAATCAGCCGAAGAGGTTTCACTTCATGCTCAACCCGCCAAACACTCGGTCTAGCTCCGCGCCTTGATCGTTCAACGGCATCTCGCTGGTCCCCGCTACAGCTGATGTCTGATGCCCATCCTCCTCCTCAGATGGCCCGCCCACCTTTTCCGGCTCGAGGATCCGGGCTTCACTGTCTAGCCAGCCGGGCGCAACCCTTCTCTTCTCAGCCAGCTCTCGCTCTTTTATCCTGGTCTCGAGGTCCCGCAGGTCACGCTCGGCATCCTCCTGCATCTTTGTGATATGGGCTTGTAGCGCGCGACACGAGGCGATGATATCATCCGGATGTGCTGCGTGTCCCGACTGCGAGATCACATACTTGGGTTTATTTGCTGTGGTGTCTCCAGCTGCCGCATTCTCGGTGACGGCAGCTGGTACACCTGTTGCTGAGGGAGGTAGGGCTGAGGGCATAGCCTTGTAGTTGTAGGAGAGCGTTGTAGCGGCGGGGAGGGAGATGAATGGGGAGACGGTCAAGGGGACCTGCTCGAGGAGCGGATGGGAGCCTATCATGATAATTAGTGACACGAGCTACGTATAGACACAAGGGAGCGGAAGGCTACGTACGGTTGCTATACATGGCGGGTAGCGAGTCTTGCCTTGAGTACGTAGGTGTCAGTGTGCAAATGAGGGTGGAACAGGACTATATGAGCCGTTTTGAGGGTCATACAAGCTTGTTCAGGGTAGCAATAGTCCTCTTTGGGATATCCTGATACTCAGAGTGGAGGATCAAGCGCGTGATTGCAGGTTGTTGTGTTTGCGCCAGTTGAGGGGGATTCGTCAGCTCTGCGCCATGAAAAGAGGTGCGATGCGAATGCGTAGCTGTCCGAGGCAACGGAGTGCGATCGGACTCTGGAAGAATGTCGGTGGAGAGCTCAGACCCCACCGAGCGTTTACCTAGGTGGGGCATGCGGATCAACCTAACCCTGCTGACCAATGACCGATCACCTGACCACCCGTCCGCCTTGATTACCTCAGCCCCTACCTTCTTCCTGCCCGGTAAAGTTCCTGAATGTCACTTCTTTTATCAGTATCATCACGTGGTGATAGCGATAAGAGCTTCACTTTCTCCAGTTCCAAGCCAAGCACCCCACCATGAAGGGTCTCAGAGGTCAGCCTAAGCAGAGTCCTTTCAAGGATCTCTTACACATCATCAACATGCTGCCCACAACCATTCGCTCTCCTCCCTCTCTTGGAGACTTTACTCCAATTGAGGAGCACCAGTCGGCTACTCCTGAGAGCTTCTTTGGAGGAAAGCCCGTCCTTCATTTTCATCTCGAGGGTGCCAAAGCATGGACCCCGGCGTCGCAGAAGGGCAGCCTGGCCATCTTCCCGGCTGATGTCTCGACTACTGCCTCCGCTCCCGATGGCACGACCTTGAAGGAGACCACTGAAGAGCTTGTGGAGGAGCATGTCTCCGTGTTTGTCTCTTCAGAGTAGGTTTGCTACACACCGATGTTCTCGTTACCTTATCCTAATTCGCGTCACAGGACCTTCACCGTCTTCTCTTCGACCCAAGGTGCTGGCGTTCAGATCCCCTACCCGTCCATCTCGATCCACGCCGTGAAGTCAGTCGGATCCATTTCCGAAAGTGCCCCTCTTCAGGCTATCTGGATGCAGCTGCAGCTCGCCGACGGTGGTGACGGCGACGACGACTTCGATACGATCGATCTGACTCTCGTCCCGGCGGTCACTGATGGCGCCCAGGCCGATATCCAGAAGTTCTACGATGCGATCTCAGCCTGCTCGGATCTTCACCCCGATCCCGTCGATGAGGATGATGAAGAAGAGGACGGTCGCATCATTTTCGAGGGCGAGCATGAGGCAGTCGAGGGATACCAGGGTGTCCTGTACGGCGCCGCCGATGGAGGCTTGCCTCCTGCCTTCCCTGGAAGCGGGGGCTGGATTACGGCCGAGAACGTCCACGAGCACTTCGACGCTGACGGCAACTGGATCGGTCAGAATGGCAATGAGGATGAGGAGGAGGAGGAGGAGGAAGGCGGCCAGCTAGGAGAGGGAGCCGGTCGGGTTCGCGGTCACGACGAAGCCAATAACGGTGTCAACGGTCATGACGACCCGGGCAACAAGCGCCCGCGTGTTGACGAGTCATAAGTATGTACCGCAAATACGGCTTGACAATTGACGAGGAACGACTTGATACCATGGATAGGACTTGGGCTCATTAAACCGACGTAAGAATACCATTCTTTTTCGCGTAAAATCGCAATCAACTATCACGGATAGAAATTGAGGGGGTATGTTTTTTTTTTTTTTGGTGTGGGATAATTCGTTGATTTGAATGATGCCTTTATCTGAATCTTGCTAATGGCCTACTGCCTAGGTATTACAATGACGCCGTGCTCAGCTTAGAAATATTCAACCCTGAAGAAAGTACTCGCTAACCGTCGCTGAACGCAACACCCCTCAATCAATATGGATCACTATGGGACAAAGAAAAATTCCCCAGACTCTGGGACTCAAACCCTCATGTTTGGGCTCTGTCTCTCGGCCCCCGCAGTGAGGCTGTCTGGGGAGCTTAGCAGGTAGTCCTCTTTCCCGTATGCACCCAAGCTAGTACCGCTATCTTGATGCTTGATCGGCCTCTCCACATACTTCTGGTCTTCGGTATCGACATTGGAGATTCTTCTCCGGGTTGGGCTTTCCACCGTCACCACGCTGTCTCTGGCCAACCCTCGTCCGGCGCTTCTAGGTGTCGGGTTGAGCGGTCGAGGTCCTCGAATCAGAGAACCGTTTCTTCTCTCATTTTCCTTCTCTTCAACTGCGGCGCGTAGCGAATCGAGATGCTTGTTTCCCCCTGGTCGACTCTTGAGCACGGCGATTGAGTTCCTCGCCGATTTGATAGACTTGGTCCGCTTCGCTGAGCCTGGACTCGTGCCCAAAGACAAGTAGTTTTGTCGGCCCATTTTGCTTACACGGCTGTTGCTTCTGTCGGGGCTGAACCCGCCCCCTCTCAAGTTTGGTAGTGTCGGACTATCCGGATCCGAGATAGATGAACCGGCGCTGAAGGTGCTCATTTGGCTGTTCATACGTCGAAGCTGAGCCACGGTTGACTGAAGTCCCATTACTGCGAAGTCGCGATGATACGAGTTCCTTTTAGGTGAGCTGGACGGCTTCAGCACGATTGAAGGGCAATCGGAACTCGAGAGGACTCGCTCGACGCGGGATTCTTTAGGCGTTGGCTGTCTGGATAGCGCGCGGTCACGAATCGGACTAGCCATCCCACGCTTGTATCGTCTTGGCGTCGGAGATCCTCCCCTTGACAGGTCGGGGCTAGGCAGGGGTCTCCGAGCTGGCGAACTAGGAACGGAACATGCGGTAGACTCGGTCGATTGACGACCAACACGACCTGGAGGGGAAGGGCTGCCGCGCGATGCCGACATTTTCCCGTCCGGGCTACCCATTATCAAGGCCTCTCGGTTTGGCGACCCCGGGCCAGCTTTCAAGGCCAAGGGCGGTGGAAAGACAGGTGCCTTTGGACCGAAAGTCAACCTGTTATTCGGCATCGCTGGCCGGCTGCCATTGTCCTCAGGAGACGTGCCAGGGCTGGCTCTCATGCTCACAACGCTGTTACTTGAGACAAGGAAGACGGGCTTCATCGACATGACGCTCTTTGGGCGAATGGTCTCGGGCGATGCTGCCAGGTCAGATGGTTGCATCATGATGGAGTACCGTGTCTGTAGTTGATCGGCGGTGCTGCTGCGCTTGATGACGTCTAACGGTCTCGGTATAGGAGAGTTGGCAACAGATGTCACCTTCGTAGGTGTGCGGTTCAGGATTTCCTCTTCGGGTGGCGTCATGCGTCGGAGAGGCGGCAAGCTGGAGGACTGGCGTTTGGGACTTCTCGGAGGCACTTCTGGCGGGCCTGGTGTGATGAATGGGTCACATATTTGAGTATCGATGACTAGGCTCCTGGGTTTCCTGCCGCGTGGAGTACTGTCTGTGTGTCCTGTTCCGCCGGTTTTGCTGTCATCTTCGGGTTCATTAACACTATACAAGGTTGACAGAGACGATGAGGCATCGCTGCCAGGGGATTCTATCGATACACCGTTGTCGGTCAACTTGGTCGGGGACTCGTGCTCGAATCGTCTGCTGGGGCTCGACAATCCTGTTGGTAAGATGTGTTCAACTTCCGGGGTCGTTTCGCCAAATAAGCTATCCGCATCTGAGACGGCCGAAGACTGCGAAGTGTTCCTATTGTGGTGGCTTGGAGTCTGGACAAGCATCGGAATGACCATTCGCTTCGATGGGCTGGGTGTTCGAGCTCGCTGGGCATTAAGGTCCAACGCCTGGCCAACGTGCGACAACACTTGGGTCTTTGCCGGAGATCGTGACCGGACGGGCGATTGGCATTTGACTGGTGACGGGATCTTGATCGGCGACTGGGCCTTTGTGGGGGAATGCGACTTTGTCGGCGACCCACGCGGAGTCTTGACACTCGAACCAGCTGATGCCGATGCAGCCCTCTGTCGTGTGGCCGGCCGGCTGTTGGTTGGTGTCCCGAGCTGCAATCTCTCCTCCGTGGAACGCAAAATCTCAGCCAGGTCCGACTCCGTCGTCTTGTGCCGCAGCCGCTGCAACGGCACCGGTCGAGGAACCGGTCCTTGTGGGCCTGGAAGCACGGGCGGTCCGCCTCTCGCCGCAGCCGCCAGCTTCTCGGCCAGCTCGTACGATGCCGTTCTCGGTAACGGCATCCGCAAAGGCTGGCCACGCTGTGCCGGCATGCTGACCGGTCGAGGATGTTCAATGGAGTAATTCGCAAAGTCATCGTCAAAATGCCCATCCCCTTCACCCTTGTGCCCAAACAGATCCGGTAGCGTCGGCGTGCGGAGGATGAAGCTGTCGCGGATACTCAGCCGTCGACCATCACTCTGCACCCTGGGTCCGTGAATCGCATCCTCATCGATCCAGCTGTTATTCCTCCTCAGGTGTCCCCCGCGCTGCTGCCCGCCAGCACCTTCCGCAGGTGTGCTGCTGAAGACGCTCCAGCTCTTACTCCGGGGCACGCTGATGATGGACGAGAGCGAGCGGTGGGAAGGTTGCTTCTTCCCCTGGACCTCGACCATGTCCGCGTACGGCTCGCCCGGCTTCGGCTTCGTGAGGCGCCGCGGACGAGGGCTGGGCGTGCGGATGGAGCCGCCGTCCGAGTCGAGGTCGAGTCTTGTTCTGGGCGTCGTCGATCGGGCTCGGGCGCGGGCTCGGTGGCGGCGTCCTGCTAGGGCGATGAGGAAGAAGGCGAGGCATATGAAGAGGAGGACGCCGCCTCCTATGGCGATGGCGAGGACTAGTGGTAAGGTCATGCCGCCGCCGCTTCCGCCTCCTCCTCCTCCTCCTCCTCCCTCTACCTCCTCCCGGACGCGGAGTAGCAGGCTCGACATCGCCGGGAAGAAAATGGGATGTCGTGATATGGTTGATTGGGTTGGTGTTCTTAAGGCGAGATCTAATGGTTGACTGAGGGATTGCAGGTGATGAGATCACTGGCCAGGAATCGGGTCTCTCATGGCGTGAGTGTGCTCTCCGTATTCACAGTTGGCTTCCCCTTCTTTCGTCTTCTGTGTAACTCTCCAAGTATTCGTATTAGGGATTAGATCAGGAAGAGTTTGGAAAGGTGGAAAGGAAAAACGGTCTGGTGAGCACTTCTGGCAGATGGTACTGTGTAAACAAGTGTAGGAAAGAATGAGAACCAAATCCAGAATGGTAAGAACAGTCAACAGAGCAAACGAAAGAAAATTCAACACAGCATGGAAGTGAATCACGAGAACGAAGGAAAGGATGGATGACACGGATTTCCGCCTCACAAAATGGAAATGGCTGGCAGCATGCCTCTGCCGCAAAGGGTCCTTCGCTGCGGCGCTGCCCAGACCAACCAACCGCCATCCGTGATGATGACTGTAGCCATGTTTGGTTTTTTGTTTGGAAAGGGTAATCGAGTTGTGGGTTGGGGTCTCAGTCTAATCTAGCCACCAGGAATGCGTTGTCATCCCGTCGTCCTGGGGAATGCATTCCAATGGAAGGGAGGAGGGCAAAATCCTCCTTGGGTGCTCACGTCCTCTTCTTCGGCCAGTCACCCATCCGAAGTCTACCTTACACGCAGAATAGGGCCAGAAGCGAGGATCAGCAGAGGTGGTGCTGCGGGAACGTGAGGTAATGTGAATTTGCCGGGTCGGCGGGGTGGCGACGCGTGAGTTTTGGGAATAGCTTCGTGGGTTGCTGGTATGCGCGAGGCGGGTAGCTGGGCGGCAGGTTTAATCAAATGCGAGATGAGATTGCGTGCTATCGGAGGAGGTAAATAAGGTCGTACATAGCACCGTTGCGTTTTCTGGTATTTTGCGAAAAAATGATTACACGTTAGATGTTTTCCTGTTGTCCATCTGCGCTGAACATAAAATCATCCAGCTTTTCTCACTCCAGGGTCCTGCATGGTGTATGTGCGGTTTCTTGTCTGCAGAGCTATCGCAATTGACATCTAGGTATTCTGCCCCTTGCATCCACGACCCAATAGACTACTGAACACGCCCCAAACCCAAGTGACCAACCCATCCCTACCCCCTCGGGCCGGATCCCTTTCTCTTCCATCATCCCCGTGCCGCCCTCTTGACGCACTTGACCTCATTGATCCTCAACGCAGCCGTATCGTGACTCTCCAGTTCCACGACGTACTCGTCCTCAAACACCCCGAGATCCTTGCCAGTCCACATGTCGTGCAAAACATATTTCTTCCCGGCCTCCAGCCCAGGAACATCCTTGAACGCGACCGTCTTCTTCTCCGTGCCGCTCAGCGTGTTGAGCACAAACACGTGCGTACCCTCCACCGAAGCCCCGGACCAGAATTCGGCAGGGTGCGTGATGTTCCACGCCCCGTCCGGATTCACGCCCCACTTATACGGCTGCGCCGCGGCCCCGAACTCCGGATCCTGATTAAATTTCACCAGCTCCTTCGTTGACAAGATTTGCAAAATTTCCGGTTGGATGCCCTCCAGCTTGGTCCCGATGATCAACGGACTCTTCAACGCAGCCCAAAACGCAAAGTGGCTCCTGCTCTCCTGCAGCGTCAGGTTCCCGTTGCCGACCTCGAGCATATCCCAGTCCCCGTGGCCCCAGAACCCGTTCACGTCGGGACCGCTCCAGAAGGCAGCGTGATTCAAGATTGGCATCAGGCCCCAGGACCACTGGTGCTGCCCGTACCACTCTGGGTAAATGTCGCCCCACATGCGCCAGCTGTGGCCCGTCTCGTTGCCCCAGGCCTCGACGTGGGCGTGGCCCCAGGCGCAGAGGGAGTATTGGATCGTCCTGTCCTGGGCAAGGAGGGCGTCGCGCATGATGCGGTAGCGTTCTGCCGTCAAGGAGGTTGACCAGTCGTAGCCTGCGGGGGCCGGGAGACCCGTCTTGGAGTTGACGGGGTCGCCGTTGTCTTGGTCTTCGTTGGGGGGTCCGCCGAGCCAGAGTTCGGGGACGTATTTCCAGTCGTCGAACCACTCTTTCGGGACGTTACAGTTGTCGTACTTTAGGTCTGTGGAAATTTTGAATTATCTGTTAGAACGTTGATCCGATAACGTGTCTTGCGATGAGTCTAGGGGACGGTGGAAGGGTTTGGAGGGGTCAAGTTGAGGGATGACGTTGACGCAGGGAGGGTAGAACGGTGAACGGTGGTGGAACTTACAGTCGATACCCCATTTCGCAAACGTCGCGGCGTCGATTTCTTCGTAGCCTAGCGATCCCTCGAAACCGCCGCAGGTAGAAGTTCCTGTAATAGTTGCGTCAGAACGTCATTGCAAGATCAAACACTGGAGCACCCAGCATTCTCGCAACATGGACTTCAAGCAACGCCCTTCACCAAAAGTAGCCCTCGCGCAATTTGGCACCCCCAGTACCAGCCAAGAAAGCAAAGATTCGACTCACCCGCATCACTGTAGATCCCAACCTTCAACCCCAACTCGTGGATCTTATCCACCGTATGCTTGATTCCCTGTGGGAACTTTACCTTGTCGACAATAATCTCCTTGGTGACATTATCCCTGCGCAGCTCCTTGTCGCTCCAGCAGTCGTCAATGTTGACGTACTCATACCCCAGATCCTTCAGTCCCAAGTCGACAATGTGCTGTGCGACGGTGAGAAATACAGTCTCGTTGATGTCGCACCCGTACTCGTTCCACGAATTCCATCCCAGCGCGGGAAGACGGCCAGTCTTGCCGTCGCGGCTGACGAGGGCCGCGGCCGTGGAGGACAAGCCTACCGCGGCGATGATGGCCGAGCGCATTGCGAATATGTCGAGCGGTTCCGGCTTGTGACAGGTCTGGTAACAGAGGTTTCAGTTATCACGACCCTCGCTACAAAGCTTCACTTCTTCCCAGGATTTGCAAGACAGGGCTGAAGAAGAGCTGGGCCGGCGGGATAAGGAAGAAGGAGCCTGAACTGTGGCTTCGAGGGTTCATATAGACGGGAGGGAAAATATCCTAGGTGCATGCAGCATGATCTGCCAACTTCAACATACCCACCATCATCCCATCCGACAACCCCTCAGTAGCATCGAGTGCAAGTGGGAGAATGCAACATACCCCAAGTTCATCCCAGTCCCATTGCTGGGCATGGGCGGATGGCCACGCGGTGGCCAAGAATAAGGTGACAGCGCTGATCGCCGCTCTTCTCTCACGACGCATCTTGGACTGTTTATTCCAGAATCCTGGGCCCGTTGTGTAAGGTTGCTGGGAAAGAAAGAGGAGCCAAGTTGATCTAGAGATGAACTCTGCCGGCCAACCCGCAGTCTGTCGTGACACGGAAAAGCTCAAATGTTCCCTCACGGGTCTGATTTCGTTGGCCAGGCCGTGAGGGGAACCTCAAGAGAAACAAAATACTCTTCAATTGTTGGTGGGCTGCCACCGTCACATCCAGGAGAAATACGACGCCATCAACGGCGAGGACCCAGATGCGCGGAGGATCGCCGTCCGAGGAAAGATGGGGCCGCGTGCATGACAGAATGAGGGGAAAGCCCAAATCCTTTGAACAGTCGTCCAACGACAAGAGGCCAATTCCGCCTGTTCGTCCAATGTTGGAGAATCCCAGCCAGACACGGAATTCTCGGGCCAGTCCACAATGGCGGGGTTGTGTTTGTTGGGCGTGGTGGCATGCAGCTTTTGAAAGCACGTTGCTAGGCGACCTTGGCATGCTTTACCTCGCCTGGAGTCGCTACTCTCAACCACCCCTCATCTCACTCGAGATCCGCAGACGTTCATGATGATGTTGATTGTTTGTTGCAATCAACTGGAAATTGTTTTCGAATAAAAATAGACCGGGAGGCAAATTCTTTGGTGAACTCCCTCTGCCACGGTGTTCATTGCTTGCCTTGTATATTGAGAGAATTGGCTCAACAACGTCTTGTTCAGAGACTCAGACAGTCCTCCGGTGAAATTTCTCAATTGTCTTTCTTCTGAAGATTAGTTACTAGTCGGATCCGTTGTAGTAGAGCAACCTTTGAACCGATTCCAAGCAATTTTGGCATTGGTAAGGTGGGGTTTTGACGGGAGAAGAACTCCTCTTCTCACTTACCGACCGCCAGGCGATCCAAAGGGTTCATTTCTGTTTGAATAACAATAAACAGCTTTGGTCCTCTTGTTGGTAAACGAGTGCAACTCCGATAATATAGAAAGAGGTCGGAGGTAAGACAGGCATTATGAACGCCAAGGGCCACAACCTGTCAGCAAGCGGGGGTGTCATCGAAAACCGGACTTATTGATAACTCCAGCCATGCTTAGATTGTTACATGTTATGGCGCTACATATGTACTCAATAGTTCTGCCTAACAATTTCTAGATACTGCTGACAACTAGTCTTTGTTAGATTTCCTTTCACTCGCCGATCTGTCGGGTCCTCCGCCATAGCTTAATTCCAAGAGTTGCTAAGCCCAGAGGTGGGTATCTGGATGACTTCATTACCCCCGACAAGGCTCTTATTTGCTTCCGCAATACTACAAAGCGACTTTCTCTGCGCTGAAGATGCTGTTAGTGGTAGTTGGAAGCGCAAGTTCGAGCCTGATGTTAATCAAGAGTTTCATCAAACACAATAGCTCAGGTACGTGACTCTTAAGTGACCTTGTTTTGGTGATCACAATGGCTGAGATGAGCTTTTTTGAACAAGAAACACTCGTTGTCTAAGCAGTTTGCTCTGAAGTGACTAGGTCATGTTGGTCAATGGCACACCAACTCCATTTCACCTGACACGTGAAGCGGCCGTCTGACTTGTCGAAATCCCGGTCTTCTTTCTGCATTTTATGATGCCGCAGACTTTCAGGCCCAGATGGTCATCTTGGGCAACTCAACCATTCATCACCATTCGTCCCAGCAGATCATGCGCTCTTACGCATCAAGCATGAACACAGCCTCAGGATGACGTACGTTGACTGCAAATCTACCTGTCCAGAAGTCACTCCTTACTCCAACACGGGAAAGTAGCATAGTTGCGGATACGCTACTTTTACCTGAGCGAGTATGGGTATCAAGGTGACGAATGAGCAGTTATCGGACCGAAGACTAAGGGTCGTCTGCCGTAGAACAAGTCTTGAACCAATTAACGGACTCAAGCCAAGCCCAAGGGAGTCCACCTTCGGATGCTTCCGCAATAAAGTTGTGTTGCAAAAGGAAAAAGTGCCCGCGGGCGGTGGTGTCGCCCCTTGAGGAGATGATTGTATCTTGCGTCTAGTTACCCCCAAAGCCAATGCTACCTGCCAAGTTGTTAGAAAGATTAGCTCAGTCATCGCTTTGCTTCCTTCTGTCCTTGATACCGCGAGGCCAAGCGTAGATGTCCCATTTAATCTCCGAGGATCTTGTCAGCAAACGACATAATCTCCATACAGCCGAACACTATCAGCAATCGCAAGATGTCGTCTTGGATGAGGCTTCTATATGGCGTAAACATTCCGACATTGGCATTTCAAGATATACGCTCCACATCAAACGCGTGTCTATATCAGTAGGAGTATAAGACCTACGGACTCCCATCACAATGTATCGTTCTCTATTCGCAAAGTATCCAAGTCGTGAAGATGCACTCTACCGGACTACTAACCTCTTGCCTCTTAGCCGGCTCCGCCGCCGCCATTGGCGTACCAGCTGCTACAGCTGAGATTCCAATCGACTGGCATCGTAGAAGAAGCCAGCTCGCCGAACCAGTCTCAGCATCCTGCGTACAAGCCGTAAGCTTTCCAACTCTCTCCTTCTTGAGGCCTTTCTCGATATTCCATAAAGGCACATGGAACTAAGATTCTCACCCTTCCACCAAACTAGTGTACCCAGCTCTCCGCCACATTCCCCCCTTCCCGCTTCCACTACCCAGAGAACGACACAACCTTTGCAATCTGGGACGCCAAACAGCAAGAAGTCCGCCCAGCATGCCGCGTCGAACCCATCACCGCATCCGACGTCTCCCTCATCCTCAAGACCCTCGTCGATAGTTGGTGCCACTTTGCCGTCAAAGGTGGCGGCCACTCGCGGAACGCGGGCGACTCCAATTCCATCGCCGGCGTCACTATCGACCTCGACCGCATGAACTCGGTTGAAGTTGTCGGCAACGGCACCGAGACGCCCACACGTGCTAGGATTGGTGGTGGCGCGACGGTAATCCAGGTCTACCAAGCTCTCGAGGAGAGGAAGCTCTCCTACGTGGGTGGCCGATCCGCGACTGTTGGTATCGGCGGGTTCACGCTCGGCGGGGGAACGTCGCCCTTCTCGAGTCGGTACGGATGGGCTTTGGATAATGTCTACCAGTACGAGGTAAATTGAAGCCGGCAACTTGTCGTCTTTTGCATTCTATCCCATCCAACCCCCATTCCCATCATCATTCACCCGAAAAACAAAGTGAGCAAGGAAAGACATTAACAAACTCACCCAAAGGTCGTCCTCGCCAACGGCACAATCACAACAGCCTCAGAAACTCACAACCCGGACCTCTACTTCGCCCTCCGCGGCGGCAGCAACAACTTCGCCATCGTCACAACCTTCACCGTCCGCGTCTTTCCCCAAGACACCGTCTCCAGCCAGCGCGCAACTTACACCTCGTCAAACCAGACCGAGAGCGCCCTCGACGCCATCTACGACCTCTTCACGAACCCCCAACTCACCGCCGACATGGACATGGCCTACGACTTTTATTACATGTACAACCAGGCCTCAGGGGCCTTCTCGCTCATGGGTTCAGAGTGGTACGCGAACCCGGCGGTCGCGGAGCCGGAGGTCTTCCGGGCTATTCGTGATGTCCCCTCGACGACGAGGACCGCCAGGTTGGGGTCCATGGCGAATCTGACTGGAACATTACAGCCGCCTGTCCTAGGTACCACGCGGTATGTCATGCTGTTTTGGTTTCTTTCCCTACCCTATTTGGGAGTTCTGGCTTCATTCACCCACCAAGAGACTGCAATAATCGTGCTGACTGTTGATATTTCCATCTCAGCCACCTCTTCGGCACAATAAGCACTCTCCCCTCTCGAGCCCTCCTCACCCAGGCCTTCGCAATCTTCAGAGAAGAAGTCTCAGCAATCTCCAGCGTCGAGGGTCTGGCGCCGAACCTCATCTGCTACCCTCTCTCGACAACCGCCATCCAGGCAATGAAGCAGCGCGGCGGCAACGCGCTCGGCATCGATCAAGATGGGCCCCTTTACAGTAAGTGGTCCAATGCCCGCCACACCTTCCTCCCTTCTGCTTTGATCTCTCTTGCATTCTTCCCACCGCCCATCAAATTTTTCTACTTCGTGATATCGAGATCCTGCTAACGTGAATTGTTTGCGTCCCTAGTCTTCCTTGTTTCAACGGCCTGGTCCAACGCACAAGACGACGTCGCCGTGGAACAGATGACCGCAAACGTCCTCTCCCGCATGGAAACCTACGCCCAAGAGTCTGAGATCGCGCACCCTTACCTGTACATCAACTACGCGTCCGCAGCGCAGACGGATAAGGTTTTTGCCGGGTACGGCGAGGAGAATGTGCGTCGTCTCAAGGCTATCGCTCGCGAAGTCGATCCGGAAGGCGTCTTCTCATCCGAGGGTCTCTGGCGTGGGTTTGTCAAGTTGCTGTGAGACAAAGCTCGCCTATCGAGACGTTGGTTTAGGCTGCCGCGGGGGTAATGTTTCTTGTAGATATCTACACATCGTTAGCAGATCTAGTTTTGCACCCGTATTAAGTAGTCTTCTTCCATGCCCCTGAAGCCATTTCTTGATAGAGAACTCAGAGATCTGGTAAATATACAACTTCCCAAGTCAGAAGAGCTGCCTGTGGGCTTCTCATCACCGTTCTTAACGTCTCGCACATCCTGGAGGCAAGGCAGGCAGATGTACCTCATCCAAGACAGCCCACAAGCTACTTAGTCAACCTATTGGGCGTGTCTGCCATCGCACACGTCACCTTCACCTAGGAGGAACGGTGGCGTGATCTTGCGTCACAGTACGCGGCTGTCCCGACGTTGACAACTCTTAAGAGCTTCTCTAAGAGTTGATGGCCGAAAAAAGCCTACCGATGCTGAGATTTGGGCGCTCTCCTTTTTTATGTCTTTTTTGGGGTGGCAATAAGGGTAACGAAATATTAATGCCAACCTTGGCTTTCTTCTACCACATCTGATTCGAACATACACCTTGCGGGTCCTTGTGGCGAAATAGGCTGAACTTTCTAGGCCATGGGATGATCAAACGAAAGACACGGGAATTCAAGCATTCAACAGTCAGTGTGTCAACGTAGACCGTGGTGGTTCAATGGGTTGTATCCATGTCGCGAAAGCCTCTGGGGTTAACAGCATAATCAAGAAAAACCAAAAGCTCCCTCCATGATATATAGCACCGAGAACGGTAACTTACACCAGCCGCAGCATCACGAGTTCTCGTGTGACTCATATCCAACCCAAAAGCCAAAGTCAACGGGAGCACTTCATTCTGATACCACTATGGACGCAGTCCAACAAGGAGAATATAAAAGATTCCCTCCTCGACTAATGCAAGACTCAAACCGTTCTTCTCACCCGATAGTGTGATGTGTTGAAGTTCCCTGCCAACTTCTTCAAAATTCTCAAGACACAACATCACAAGCTGCCAAGAAGGAGTCTGACACATTAATTGTAACCTGGGCAAGTGGGCGCTCAGGTCTTCGTTCTCCTTCCCATCCATCAAATCTGGTCGTCGCCTCCTTCAGTAGGGTGAATCCTTCTGTGGGAAGGCGACACGGACGATGGAAGGCAGGCACGCCCGAGCTGACTACCGGGTCGTTTTGATCACGGTACTTCCTCCTAAGGTACCTTCCCCTACTGAAAGAACGGTGATGATAAAGCCCACAAGCATCTTTTCCAGAATGCATCTGGAGAAACTGTGTAGATGGCAGGGTTCTGAGTTCTTATGGAATGTGCCGGGTAAAGAGGGAGTAGGAAGGAATTCGTTTTTATTTCGATGTTGTTCGTCCTTCATTGTACTTGCATTTCCAGTTGTCGTTGACTCAGTCTGCCAGCGCGAGATTTGGTCATAGTCAAGCATGGATTACCGTACTGCTTCCCTGCCTTTACTTTGCTTTAGTTTTGACTTTTTATCATTGACTCATCAAGATATCAATAAGCAGTGGGCATAGTACCTTAATGGCATGTAAGGCCGAAACAACAAATCAATGTGGGCTTCTGTCACAGATGCTACCTATGGAAGTGGAGAGGCGACCTGGTGTTGGACTGGGCGATAACTTCTCACGCAATAGCACCTTGATCCCTGGAGGGAAGTGTCTTATGGATGGAATCGTTGGAATAACCTTAATGCGAATAGGTATCTCTCGAACATCAACCTACAACGCCTACAAAATGGACGCATTCAATGCGATGCAAATGCAAAACCCCCTTACGACGCCCGCCTCACTCGGACTACCATGAAAAGAAGAAACATTGTAAGGACCAACTCAACTTGATGATTTGCCTCCTAATGATTGCCGTGAATTCATGACGCAGGCCATATCGTGCCCGAACCTTGCTAGCTACCACCAAGAAGAAAAAATGTGTCCGTCTGCTCAGAATGTCCAGACAACAACGATAATGTTCTTGAGCAAGATGCGAGAGAACCAATGGGAAGCCAAATCATCTCAATGGGTTAGGTTTTCCACTGGATAGAGAGAAAAAGACCGCCACATCCCGATGTGGCGTCCCTTGAAAACTGACGTCCGCAACCCTGATTTTTTTTCGCACCCAGATACAAGAGGGAGTATCAACTCCAGAAATTGAGAAAAACACGTTTTCATCGCCTAGACGTGGTGATGGCGGTGCTGGTGAAGGTGGCGCTTGGCGCGCATGGCGGGCACCGAGGCCGACGGAGTAGGAGTCACAGTCAGGGTAGACGTGATATCCTCATACTCGGTGACATAGACAATGTCCTCCTCCCAACAGATGATGGAAACGGTGTTGACCGCAGTGATGGTCTGAGTAGACACGCAAGACATGCCCGGAGCAGAGGAGCTGGCCGGAGTAGAAGTGGTGATGGGCTCAAAAACCGGGGTGGGGGTGAGCTCAGGAGTGGGAGTGGGCTCAGGCGTAGGGGTGGCCACGGCCTCGGCAGCAACCGTCTCGGAGACAGAGCTGGATGAGCCATAGGGAATCTTGCCAGTCTCCTTGAACACTTCACCAGGGAGAGGGTTGGAGGTAGCGGTCTTGCCAGGCTTGTAGGTGAGAGTGGGAACGGTGGGAGCCGCGATGCTCGAGGTGGAGCTGACGGGGTCAGCATCGCCGCCCTCGGACGAGCCGTCAGCGTAGGTGATGGGGCAGTTTCCAGGAAGCTGAGCATCGGGACCGGTGACGTTGTCCTTGGCAACGAGGTCGGGAACCTTCATCTCGCACTGCTTGGAAGTGGCCTCGTCCTGGAGACTGAAGACGGCGCAGTCCTCGATGCGACCAGAGAGGTTAGTGCAGGTGTCAACGGCAGACTGGAGGAAGTCCTCATCCCAACCGGAAATGAAGTCGGCGTGGTATCCATATCCCTGAGTATCACCGTTGGCAATGACGAAGCGGCCAGAGCGGTCCTTGAAGGCGTAGGTGTTCCAGATGACCTCGTACAGAAGGTTGGGGGTCGAGGTCTCGAATCCATCAGGGCAGGTGCCATCAATGACAAGGTCAGGGTAGGCCATGTGAGACTTGTGATCAGTGGAGTCGACGTCCTTTCCGTTCCAGCACGAAGGGAACATCATCTCGAACCGAACGCCATTAGCGCAGTTGGCATCGAGATAAGTCTTGTCGGGAAGGAAGTGGCGGTAGAGGGTGCCCTCGGGGTCACGACCATAGTTGAGGCAGTTGAAGCCAATGGCACGCTGACGAAGAACAGACTGGTCGGTCTGGCCGAGAATAGCCCACTCGGACTTCTGGGGGTCGGGCTTGGAAGGGTCTCCAGCAGTGTAGTTGCGGCGGTTGGTGTCGCCAGCAATCATGCGGAAGCCGGGGGGGAATGCCTTGATATCCTTTCCATTAAGAAGGTAGTACCTGGTACAGTCAGTATCGAGTGTTTTTTGTGTTGCTTCGAGAGTAGTGAATTGAGACACTTACGCAAGCAATCCTCCAACTTGATCAACAAGCTCGAACTCTCCAGTGGCAGAGTCCTGGAAGTACAGAGCCGGGTGCCAGTAGGCCGACTTGTCCTGCTTCACACGGCAAGAAGTGCAGTCGCTGGCGGTAAGGTCGCCAAAGTCAGCGGTAGGAGAGATGCCTGGTTCTGGAGTTAGCGACACATGGAAATAAAATACAAATAGTCATGCCATGGTGATGGTCAGGCAAGCGCATGCTTGAAATATTAGGATTCATCAAACTTACCGCCAGAACCGTGAATAGCGTGAACGTGAGGAGCGGCGCCTCCAAAGGACATGAGAGGGTCGACACGAGCAAGGCCAACGCGGCCAGGGCACTCCATGCGCCAGAAAGCCTCGGCGCTGGTGATGAGGGCGCTGACAAGAGCCAGAGCCTGGGTGTTGGACAACTTCATCGTGGCAATTGATGAATATTGTCGAGGGAAGGTTGTGGTGATGAGATGTGAAGAGTGAGGTGAGATAAGGTGATACAAGGGTTGAATGGGTATCAAAGTATGAAAATTCGACTGAAAGACAAGTCCGTTTGCTGGTCTTGAAAAAAGATCTGAAGAAAGTCCAAGCCCAGTTGGATTCTTGAAGGAAGGCTGGAGAATGAGAGACCTTTGAGAAGGTCAGCTTTGCGCAAACGATATTGGTGAGTTTTCCGTCGAGGTGTAGTGCGTTGTGGTGTGTTGTGGGTGAGGAGGTTTCTCAGGCAGAGAAGAGATGCGACGCGTGGGTGATATGGAGGCCCAGCTGCTATTCACCGAGGAAGGAGCAGGGCAGGAACCAACAAAAAGTGAAGGGAAGGTGCGATGGGTTAAGCGGGGCGCTGACTGGGTCGTCGGTGAAGTTGGTGATGGAGGAAAGGAAGGAAGGAGCAGGTGTAACCCGACTCACCTGTGACTTCTTCTTTAGGACTCTTCAACAATGAAATCAGGGTCAGATGTCAGAGACAAAAGGGTCCTGCAAATCTGTTCGGAATGACGACAAAAAGTTTGATCTTTCCAGATGATTTTCTTCCGTCAGCTCGTGCGCTTTCCAGTGGCTGGGAGTTGATTTCCTAGACACGTGACGGATTTCAATGGTGGAGGTTTCGGCGGTGGCTCGGTGAGAGTTGGCGATGGTTTTCGACCGGGCTCGGCAATGTCTAAGAGAATACGGGTTCGATCCTCGGCAATGCTGATTCGAGGCTGCTACAACACAGAGATCCTACGATATTCCGTCGTCGATGTCCAGCACCACCGGCAGAGTCCAGGTTCGGAATGTGTTGAGTGAGTGCGTTTCTACGGCTTAGATAGATGTAGTCGTTGGCTGATCTCCGTGAGTCAGGTTGGCGATTGTGGCGACGAAATTGCCGATTCCTTTTCTTATACCGTCACAGAGAACGTTTCTACTACAACGAGTTGAATGATCTATTCGTGTTGGCGTCGAAAGATTGACATGCGATGCGCGGTGTAAGACGATGTTGTAAAGACGCTAGTTGAAAGGTCTTGTTGCGAGACAGCGGGAGGTTGGAAAACCGTTACGATGATACCAGAAGTTGGCAAATTCGGCTTTTCGTCTTGTCGATCCTCCTACGAGCTTGCCCAAAAAGTTCGAGTCGAGAAACGAATGCGATCAACACACACACCAAACGGGGTCCAAGAGAAATGAATGTGCTGGTTAGTCCTGACTACGAGTCGCAGGAGAGCCAAGAAAAGGAGCGGGATCCGCAGCTTGGGATTTTTTTTGTCAGGTTTAAAAAACAGTAAAAAAAAGGAATGGCTGAGTGCGACCACCCCGAGAAGAAGGGCGAGGCCACAAGTGCGAGCGAGCAAGCGAGCGTTGAGAGTGAGCGTGATTTGAGAGAGTGACAGTCGAAAGACCCCGTGTAGGTGACGAAAGGAGGGGGAGAGAAACGAGGGGAC